ATATATCTACTTACTTAAATTCCTTGCTTCAATTATATATAGAGATTGGTAATAGTATTTCACATCTACAGCGTGCTGCTTAAAGTAGATATTGCCTAAAAATGCCCCTTGGTAAATGTCATATGTCTCAAAACTGCAACAAATTCACGAGATAACCAGTCTAATTGTGAATGTACGCCAATTTCAGATAGTTTATTCCTCCTTCCTTCCTTCTGGTCTCTCTCCACTCCTCTTTTCTCCTTCTCTCCCTTTCTTTCTCTACCTCCTCTCTCTTCCTTCTTTCCTCTATACTTTCTCCCCCGCTTCCATCTTTCCTTTCCCCCGTCTCACACTCACAGATATCAGGCACCATTTATTTGGTATGTCGAAATATACCTTGTTACTTCCGTTACCCACAAAAGCATGTCTGTAACAATCATGTATATGTACAAAGTCTAAGAGGTGTTGCTAATTTTCACAACCTGTTAGAAGGCTACAAGATCTGTTTTCACAAGTGCTTCTCTTCTTAGCTGTTACAGAGTTACACTCGTCAAACCACTTGGTTTTCACTACAAGGGGAGATTGCATTACATTTTTATTGCCTGAAAACCCTGCCATGCTTTTCATGTTATCTAGTCTTTAAATAGGTTTTCTCATTCAGCAGAAAGGAAGCAGAAATATGATAAGTTTTACATAAGGTATTAAAATTTCCTGTGGTTCATGGGTCAACAAACTGCACAATGACACCAAATCTTCCTTATATATTACAGTCTAAATTAGCAGTAGTTCTTAATTTGGCAACTCAAGAAGAATATTGTAATAGAATCAAGGTCTGAAGGCATCAGAGTGTATTTTTAGTCTTCTGTGAGGTCATGATCTGTTCTTTTCAGGTGTGGATTTCACATATTAAAATTCAGTAGCTAGTTTTCCAAACTTCATAAAGCCCTCAGGGCAAATAGCATAATGAAAAACAGCTGTGGCATTCCAAAAGATTCCTTTGTTACTACTAACAAAATATTTAAAACTTAATTCCAATATTGTTTTTAGTAGTATTTCAAAGTGTTGTTTGTTGTGTCCTGGGTGCCTCTGCTAGCTGTAAAAGGCTTCTGTGATTTGGCAGAGCAAGAGCCATAAAGGAAAGAACATTCATTCATTGCCAAGTAGCACAAATGCCAGCTTAAATATCAGTCGAGAGTACCAACAGGTAATGTTAAGGGTGTCTAAGAAACTTCTGCTAAACAAAATTGCCTGCCGGGGAGAATTTAACGTAATCATACTAAAGAAAGAAAACTTTGTAAATAGATTTCTTAGAAGACTATAAGCCTGGGTTAAGTCTCTCAGTTGAGTCTTTTTTAAAAAATCTTATTAATTATATTGTCTCAGCATTTTCATACTAATATCCAGAGTAACCTCTTTGTATTTTGGCAATTGCTTTAAAATGCAGTAAGGGGATGAGGGTGTAGTTCAGCTGTAAAGCCTATCTCCAGAACCAATGCAATAAAATGGAACACGATGGAATTTGTATTTGCAAATGCACTTCCAAAATTAGAATCTTTTAAATGCACCAGTATATCCAGGAGAAAATATTCACCATAATTCTTATTTATTCTAAATAATCTAGGTAACCATTGTATTTTACATCCCTTTGTCACTTATGAGTCATAAGTGCTTTCACAAATACTGATTGCATGATGAAGTAGTATTCCAATATTCTTCAAATTTTTCAACTGTATATTTCAAATGATTTTATTTTCACATAAGTAAAAAAATAAATGACTGTCATTAGCTGTTAATGTTGTGACATAGGCAATTTATTTGATTCCTGCTCAGTGTGGCATAGAATGGGCTCCTGAGAGAGAGAACTTCTGTCTCTCTTTTTTTAATAAGTTGCCTAGAGAGCATAGGCTTAAACTTGCAATCGTCCTGCCTCAGCCTCCTTGAGTGCCAAGATTATAGGTGTGTGCCTCCACACCTAACTACTCCTTATTTTCTATAATCAAGTTTGGTCAAGTAGTAACCACGAAACTTTTGAATTTTTCCCTTTCATCAACAAGAAATTCAAAGCATGGAAATGTTAAATAACTTGTCCAAGCCCACACAACATTTTAGTAACAAGGCAGAATTCACTTTCTAGAAACTTCAGGGTATTACTCAATGAACCGAACAATCTTAAAATACTAGTGCAGTTTCTGAAGTTAGAAATGAATTGTAATTGGTGCCATAGAATGGTACAGATAGCTCTGCTATTTCCCAGAAGGGAAAAATATTTAAACAGTCTAGGAATACAAATGGCAAATGAACATATAAGATATGTTCTCTTTCTCTATGAACCACAGAAAAGTGATATATGTGAAAAAATTCTGCATAGATATATGTGCAATAATTGGTTTGGGGGAAACAGAACTGTGAAATATTTTGATTTTAAATGTAAACATTTTTGTATTGTTTATATTTATTTCAACTAAAAAGTATAACATGCCTATAATCCCTGCACTAAGAGAAGTCGAGACAGGAGGACTGTAAGTTCAAGCCCTACCTGGACAACTCGGGGGGACTGTCTCAAAATAAAAATGGAGAAAGTTTGGGGATGTTGATCAGTGGTAGAGCACCCCTGAGTTCAATTCCCAGTACTGAAAAGTACATCAGTCAACAATTATTTACTAAATTTCTACAGCATACCAGCAATATATCTGTAATAAATCAGTAAACAAAACAAAAGCTCTTGTTGCCATGAAGCTGATCTTCAGCTTTTTTACTGCAAATTTCAAAAATGCCTCATTTCAATTCAAACAACAGCTATAGGAAAAGTTATCAGAGCAAACTGTTTTCTTAAGCTATTTAAGTAACAATAAAGTGTTTTTTGTTTTTGTTTTCAATGACTGAGAGAAAAGAAGACTCAAGTGAAGATGGAAAAGTAGACAAAACAAACAGAAACAGAATTCAGTGACAGATAATACAACATATAAACTACTTTTACCTCCAGGATTATTCACATTTCATGGTATCAGAAAATTATCTAAACAAAAAATACAGATTAGGGTTTGCATTTGTAACATAGTGGGGTTTCTTAGCACGTTTTTAAAGCTAAATACAATTTTCATCTCATCCTGTGCTTTTATAATTTATTATATATTTTATTAGTATGTGTTTATAGTACATAATAATTGCATTCACTGTGGGGAGTTGACACATGTATGTAACACACCTTAATTGTTTTTATTTCCCCTTCCTCTATACACGTTTTAGAGCTTTTTGTCCTTTTGTTACTTGGGTAGCAGATGGCAGAAAAGAAAATCTATGAGAAAAGTGAAAGTATAACAAAATTCAAACAGAATCAAGCCTCTGAATCTTAGACCAACAGCTTCAGCTAGTTTGCTGTACAAGGTATTGTAAATATGTCAGAGCAAGGACATTTACTGCATTTTAACTGAATAAACCCAGTGGCCCAGTGACTGATTGAAAATCTCCATTTAATTAAAAATTGATTCCCTTCTTACAAGACTTACTCATACCTATGATTTAATATTTTTCCATTATGAAAAGGCAGATTAAGTTGTTTACCCTTAGAAGACACTTATTTTTATTCATGAGCAACTACATATTTTTGAAATGTCTTTCAGATGTGTACATGAATACCATGCTATTTATGGCAGAAATTTCAATCCAGTTTAATTGTTGCTAAATTTATCTTGAAGTTTTTCTCTGTTTCATAATGCATTTTAGATTTGATTCGATTTGATTTTTGAATGCTACAACAAATTTTCTTAAATGCTTCATATACCTTGTGCGTTAGCAGTCACACTGAAGGAAAGGCCAATATCCAAGTACTCACCCATATTAGAGCCATTGCACATCTGAAGGTAAAGTCTGTATCACATATTCATTCCACAGTCACTCTGTTAATCTTGGATTCTGAAATATATAAAAAGGTATTTTTCCATATATGTCTTCATATATCTATAGATATATCTATAGATATATATTGCTCCTTGACTCATGATGGGCTCATGGTTCAGTAGTAGAGCACTTGCCTAGAATACTGGAAGTCTAGAATTTGATTCCCAAAATCACACACAAAAAAGAAAAATAGTAAATGGAACGTGCATGTAAAAACACCTAACCTACTGAATGTCACAGTTTAGCAACACAGGGCAATACAGAGGATCTGCCCTTTTTTTCTGATCTCAAAGCTGATGAAACTGGTCATTGCCACTGGTGAGCTTGGGAAAGAATATCATACTACATACTGGTAGCTAAGAAAAGATTACAATTCAAAATTTGAAGTACAGTTTCTATTGCACGGATATATTATATAAGTCTCTTGCACTATTTGTAAAGTTGAAAAACTATAAATCAAACCATTGCAGGGTGAAGTACATATTACAAATTGAATCAAGTATTCTAGACTTTTTTTTTTGTACCAGGGATTGAACTCAGAACCTTGCACTTGCAAGGCAGGCACAGAGCCACTAAGCCAAATCCCTAGCCCTATTCTAGACTCTTTTATACATAGCTCTTCTAAATGCTACTTGGTAAAATCAAATAGTCATCCAAGAACTGGTGGGTTATGATTTTTTGGAATTCTTTATGACATTTATTGTTTAGTTCTATTTTGTTTTCACTTTCACAAACCATAAGTTCTATTTTATAAAACATAAACTAAGTTAATATTGAAAATCTTGGAATTATGCCTAAAATTCTGAATTTATAATATATGAATTAATTGTAACAGGTTGGAGTGGTTAATTTTTGTAGTACTAAGAGGTTTTAGTCAGGCCTGGTGACATGTGCCTGTAATCCCAGCACTCTGGTGGCTGAGGCAAGAGGATCACCAGGAATTCAAGGCCAGCCCAGACATCACAGTGAGTTCAAGCTCAGCCTGAACTACATAGCAAGACACTGCCTGAAAACATCAAAATAAAGGAAGAGGTTTTAATACTCTTTCAAATTCTAAATTAAGTCATTATCAACAAAAAATATACAAACTACAAACAAATTACATATTGCTTTAGAAGAATCGGTAAAAGATAAGGGATAGGGAAAAGAAAAATAACAATTATTAAAGACCTAAATTTGCCAAGAATTGATATATTTTTCACTAATCCTGCCTCAGTCTCCCAGAGTGCTGAGATTACAGGTATGTGTCACTACACCAAGATAAAAAGCTCAGCCTGTTGGTGAGTAGTGGTAGACACCTCTAATTCCAGCTCCTCAGGAGGCTGAGGCAGGAGGATCACAAGCTTGAGGCCAGTCTGGCAACTTAATGATACCCTGTCTTAAAGTAAAAAAAATCTCAGTGGCACATGCCCCTGGGTTCTACCCCCAGTACTGAAACAAAAACAAAACATAGACCATACTCTGCTACCCATTTGAATGATCTTATTTTCCTTTTGTCTCCTGCTTTATTATTAATTTTTCTATCTTCATGCTTTTTCCTGTTCTCCTTTCCCTTCTTTCTTTCCTTTCCCAAAACATAAGGAAAAACACAAGAAAACAACAAATATTACTTCAGTGTCAGAAAAATACATCATGGATATACTAGATTATTTTTCAGATTCTTTAGAATAAGCATAAAAAGCATCAGAGACTCAGGGGTCTTATCATGATTGTCAGGAAATAGATGACATATTCAAAGAGGATCATTTAAGGAGACACATCTTAAATGGCCCTATTTTATTTTGGTACTGGGGATCAAACTCCGGACCTGGTGTTTGCGAGGTAGGAGTGGTGCCACTGAGCTAAATCCCCAGCCTGGCTCTATTTTGAATATGAGATCAGAAGATGAAGAAACTACAGGAGACAGTGCGTTGCGAGTTGGGCTGCATTGCCACTGTTAGCCCTGAAGAGGGGGGAAGCTGTGGCTTTCGGAACCTGGAGTCACAAAAGTACTTTGAGGAGGCCTCCGGACAGGTTCTCTGACCTTCACTCAAGGGATGCGAACACGGGTAAGGTGGTGCAGCCAGTTTCCACGGCTGTCTGTCCTCCCACTGTCTCTGCTTGGGGCCCTCCCTGGCTGTACCCACCAAAGCCAGAGGGCAAAAAGAACAGAAGAAGAATCTACGCAGGCCAGCTCACCACCGGCACACAGCAGGCTGTGGAAGAGTGGCGGGAAACGCTGCAGAGGTAAACAGAAGGCACACACTGTGGTGAGAGGGGACTGCGCCCCTGTGTCCACTGGAAGCATTTGTTTCTTCAAAGCAATCGTTTTAACTAATATCCGAAATAAATCTCACCAGAACTCGATTTCCTTATAAATTATAATACCATTGAATATTTTACTTCTACCTGCTTCCTTTATCATTTCTTTTATGTTACTGTTGTTCCTCAATTTTATATTATACGTATGTTATGCATGCTATTACCAAATCTTAGAAACAGGCAGGCCTGGGGCCTCCTGGTCAAAGAGTAGGCGCCCACGCTAGGAAATAGCAGGGTGAGAGCCACTGTGTCCCCAGACTGTACTACCCCGCTGTGCTGAAAAGGAAGCACTCTGAAGCTAGACTGTTCCTCACCAGCCCAGTCATACTGTGAAGATTTCTGCACATATTACCCATCTGCAAGATGGGCAGTGTTGACACCATCTACCTCAAATGCTGTTCGGAGGGTTAGATGAATTAGCAAAGTGACTAGAACAATGGCTGACACACAGCCCACAAACGTTGCAGATGTTAGCTTTCATTTTAATCTCAAAAATAAAAAGCTTTGGTCTGACACAACACATTGGCTGATTATAAGGAGTCACTGAGTCAGAGAAAGTTATGTTGATATAAAATCCTGTTAGAAAAGCAACTCAAAGGCCAGGGATGTAGCTCAGTGGTTCCACCACCTGCCTTGCAACAAGCACAAGGTCAGGAGTTCGATCTCCCATACAAAAAAAAAAAAGCAACCCAAAGGCTGGGGATTTAGTTCAGTGGTGCCGCCGCCTGCCTCACAAGCACAAGGTCCCCACTTCGATCTCCAGTACCAAGAAAAAAAGCAACTCAAAGTGACCTCAAGACCACTTACAGAAACATCAGGTCAGAAATCCCATTTACAGGTAGAGATAATCTCAGAAACTAAGTTGGCAATCTGGGGTCTGAGACATCAAATCTTGATGTTTACGTTGATTATGAAATTTCCTCCATTCCACAATACTTTTTACAAGTATTTTCAAGCCATTTCAAGTCCATAAGCTCTGGTCAAATTGCTTCCTCCCCAGGGGGCTTATTTTTATAGATCCCACATTTCTGATGTCCCACCCCAGCCGCTTTTCCTCTCCGTCTCCAGTGGGCAGTTTATTCTCCCTCTTCCTAGCCACGATGCTCTCACCACCATTCTTGCTCCCACAATTCTCTGGTTAACTTTGCCTAGTTCTTTGGTCAACTCTGCCTAGATACTAGTAGCTGATCACTCAGTTACTTCCTCCCACAGAATGATGACTTGTGAATATTCACTTTACATATCATCTAGAATTTTGATGGACCCAAAATAAAAGCATAGTGGACATGTTCTCATAGATTAGTGAAAGAGTGTTACACTGGATCCTTAACTTACAGACTCGATCAGTTAGTTCCTGAGGGCTGGTTGTAACTCAAGTTGATTATTAGTCAATACAGCTGAGATCTGGAGGTTTACCTGGGTACATGCTATAGATAACAAGAAGTAAATGAATCTTTCACTAGCCTAATTAGTTCAAGTTGTTCATATGTCAGGCTAGTTGTAATTTGAGGGTTCACCATAAGTAATCTAATAAGATCAGTACTTTCCAAATAATAGGTTATGACCTATTATGTGTCAGAAACTATCTTGGCTGTTGCCAATCAGCCTAGGTAGGGTTCTTTTGCTTGATTCAGATAGAAATCATGAATCAGCAAAGTGGAGCTCTGTTAGCAGTCCTGAGGTCACCAGATGACACCAAATAATGCTAGTTGCCAATAGCTGACACAGCCAGCTACTGGCCACTGCCACTGCTGACTGCCACTGCCTGGGGATGGGTTGTGCCAGACACGCTGTAGGCGCTGATCTGTGTGTAGTGCTGTTCTCTGGAGCCCTTCAGTTGTAACAGCCCGTAAAGTTTATTGTTCTTTGTTTTGAGCTGATTGCTCTGTCCACATTACTCAGAATAAGCATCTTGGGTAGACTGAAAGGACTCTTGGAGCCCACGCTACCTAAGAAATAAATCACATGCAGGTTTACAGGTCCACTAAAGCAAGTTTTTATTTTAACAAGCCCTGTGCTATACCACAGTGTTATCCCTACACTGGAAGGAGCTCTCTACTAGACTACTGAAGTGTGTGGAGAGTACTGCTTATATAGCAGCTGCGGGACTGTGATTGGCCCACGTACAGGTCCGTGATTGGTGCAGGGCTCGTGGACAGCCTCAGCTGTCATGCAATGATCCAGTGAGGGGCAGGATTGAAACCCAGGGAATCTTATGGAAGGTTATCTGTGGAGCTTGGGAATGTTAACCATGGGTTCAGATCTCTTCCTACTTGGTCTTAGCCACACCGGAATGCTTCCATCCCTTCTTCAAAAAAGCAGCAGCAGCATGTGAAGTGGTGTGAGCAGGGAAGGGGCACAGTGCTTGTAGTCAACTATAGCATGTTGGAGAGGAGTAGGGGACATTGACTACTAGATAGCCAGGGAGGACCCTGAAGCAAGTAGTCCCAGTCCATTGAGGGTGGGGTGACAGCCTTAGGCTAAGCCGTACCTGCTCCTTCCTACACTAGAAAAAACTGGGAGAGTCCAGTGGGGAATTTCTCTCTCTCTCTCTCTGAAACTATATGCATGTACCACTACACCATATACTACACCATACTTGCTAAAACCAAATTTTTTAAATTGGCTTTTGCTTCAGGGATTGTCACACAAGTAGTTTTGTGACTGCCTGCTGGATATAACAGATAGATCCCAAGCTCTTGTGAATGACAAGCATATCTGATGGTAAATGAAAAGGAGCTATATTTATTGAACATCTGGGGAAGATGTGTTCAGGGCAAGTCCATGTCTACAAAAAATATGGCAAGGACAGAAAAGTGATGCTGGGGTGTGGTAAAGTAGACCTTCAGAATTTGAAGGACAGGGCTGGCTGGGGTGTTCAGTGGTTCTGCCACTGTTCTGCCACCTGCCTGGAAAGCGCAAGGTCCTGAGTTCAATCCCTAGTACCAAAAAAAAAGAATTCAAAGGACATGCACCAAGGTCAGTAATCCAGGTCCTCCCACTGAGTCTTTAGGTAGGATCGACAGGGTGCTTTGTCATCTGGGGGGCGGCTTTTACCATGCATGCCAGTCTCAGATTCACTCTGGTCTTAATGACGTGTATGAGATGTATGTAGTACACATTCACAAACCCTTAATAAGGTGGGAGTAGAATAAAGGTTACAGAAGGTCAGGACAGGAGATCCATGGCACAAGAGCTCTCATCTAGGGTGTCAAAGATTTTCTGGACTTTTGTTGTTATTCTCTACCCCTCTTAGGACAATGGAAGGAGGAATGGCCCAAGAGTACTGTTTAAACTCAAATGGCTGGAGGGGAGTGATTTCCTCAGCTCCATTATTGTAACTGCTCTACTCTTATAAATATACTCATAAAAATGCTGGCTATGGTGGTACACTCCTGTACTCCCAGCACTTGGGAGGTTGAAGCAGGAGAATCACTGGGAGTTTGAGCCTAGTCTGGGCTACCTATTGAGTTCGAGGCAGCCTGAATTACATAATAAGTCTTTTATACAGAAATCTGCTAAGTGTACAGTGAATAGGGAGTTACATTATCTAACATTTTATTTTCAGTATTAAGGATTATTGCTCTAAAAAAGAATAGAGGCTGGGCACTGTGTTGTATATATGTAGTTCCAGCTAGTAGCGACTCTGAGGCAGAAGGATTGCTTAACCCCAGGAGTTTAAGACTAATTTGGGCAATACAGCAAGATTCCCCCTCTCAGAAACAACAGAAATTACTAATGCAATCCCCTAACATTGTACATGCTGATCACTTTACCGCTCTTCCATTAGTGTGAACATTTTTGCATTGAAAATGCAATAATAATGATAACAAAAACAAATAAATGACAGTAAAATGTTTTCAGAATATTTTTACCTAGAAAACTGACGTATTTGTATATGTGCTGCCAAAGCAAGCACTTTATTGATTTATTTATTTGTTTATTTTTGTAGTAGGAATTGAACTCAGGACCTTGAGCTTATGAGGTGGGCTCAGGTACCCCCGAGCTAAATCCCCAGCCCCAAAAACCTTTGTATTTGAATGAGGCCCTATCAAGAGGATGAAATTCAGAGTTACTGCTTGCTCAGTCTCTCTAAGTCCTTCTCCAGAAATGTTATTTTACCAAGGATAAAATTTTCCCTAAGAATTTAATTCTTAGTAGAAAAAAAAATTGTTTCTATTTTTCAGCCAGGGCAAAGGAGATTTATAAAGCAAGATATAAATAAAAATCAATTAACTTTATAAGTAACTTTCAGAAAATAAATTGTAATGAAATATCAGTACTGTATTTACAAGTATTTTATGTTCTCAAATCATTTTCCATGTGAATTTATATTAAATGCCAAGCCAATCTACATTTAAACAAACAATACAACATTTAATTAGAAGTATTATGTTTACTATCTTGATATGTAAAAGTTCACACAAAACTTAATCAATAAACTGGAGGATTTAAAGGAAAATTGAGGAGTGAGCTCAAATAAACAACCTAATGATGAATCTTAACCTCCTAGAAAAAGAAGAACAAGAAAAACCCATTGCTTGTACAAGGGAGGAAATTATAAAGATTAGAGCAGAAATCAATGCAATGGAAACTAAGAGAATGATACAAAAAAAATTAATGAATTGAAGAGTTGGTTTTTCGAAAGAATAAATAAAATCGATAAACCCTTTGCCAACCTTGTCAAAAAAAGGAAAGAAAAGGCTCAGATTCATGCAATTAGGAATAAAAAAGGTGAAGTCACAACAGATCCAGTAGAAATCCAGAGGATCATCAATGCTTATTTAGAGAAACTGTATTCTAATAAAATGGAAAACAGGAGAAATGCACAGATTGTTTGATACTTGAACGAAGAAGATAAAAAAATTCTAAACACTCTAATTATAATCAGTGAAATTGAAAAAGTAATTAAAAGTTTACCAACAAAGAAAAGCCCATGTCCTGATGGCTTCACTGCTGAATTCTGCAGGACAAGAACTACTGCCACTACTCTTTAAACTTTTCAGTGAAATTGAAAGGGAAACAATACTTCCAAATTCATTCCTGGAAGCAAGTGTTAACTTTCATTCCAAAACCAGGGAAAGACCCAACTAAAAAAAAAAACTAAAGGAAAATTAAGGAGTCAAGCATTATTTCCTCTTTCTCCTCTTTTCCTCTGTTCTTTACTCTCTGGAAATGGGATAATGAATTTCCTTTTTTTAGTTTCTCTCTGTGTAGGCTTATGCTGACCTTTAAAGTGGCGATCCTCTTGCTTCAGCCTTCTGGATAGCTGAGATTAGTCAGGCACTATCACCCCTGATTTGAATTTACATAATTGTTAAAATTTTACCCAATGTGTTAAAATTTCACTCAGTGTATGCAACAAAAGAATATGAGATTTTTAAAAAAAAAAAAAGATGATAAGAAAATAGGAGGGAGACTTATTAGACAATAGGAAAGGAAAACAGGAATAGGAGGGCTGAATATGAGCAAAATAAGTATAATTATACACAATGAGACCTCCTCCAAAAATGTAAAACTGGGGGGAGGTGATCAAAGTTAATTGCAGATATTGATCTACCAAAATAAAACTCATTAATCTGTATAATCAATAAAAAGTGCAAAAAAAAAAACCCTGAGATTTAAAGAAACTGATTATGTCTTTTTTTGTACCAAACATACTTAGCACTGAAACAAATATTTAATGTGGTATGTATTCCAGAAATGTATGTTGATGAGTGAATAGAAAACTGCTGAGTGTGTGTGTGTGTGTGTGTGTGTGTGTGTGTGTGTGTTACTAGAGATTGAACTCAGGGACTTCGAAATGCAAACCAAGAGTTCTACCACTGAATCATATCCTTAGGCCTTTTTATTTTTGAGAGAGGGTCTTACTGGTTGCCCAGGCTGGGCTTGAACTTGTCTTATCCTCCTGAGGATTCATGCCTTTTTTTTTTCTTTTGAGACAGTCTTACCAAATAGCTCAGTTGCTCAGGCCGAGCTCAGACTTGCAAACTTCTCGCCTCAGCCTCCTGGAGTGCTGACATTAGAGGCATCTCCACTACACCTGGTTCAATAAAATAGCTTTTATAAGAATTTTGTTGTTGTTCTATGAATCAAACTCAGGGCCTTGCACTTACCAAGCAGGCCCTGAGCTGCTGAGCTACATTCCTGGCTTAAGCATCATTTATTCCTAAATTTAGATCACAAGTACAATTTCAAAAATCTAAAAAGTAGAGTTGAGAACCTTTTTCTTATTCTGCACACACACACACACACACACACACACACACACACACACACACACACACACATATATATGTCTTTGGTTACATTTCTTATGGTAATCAATATATTTGATAGTGTTTATCAGAGGGAAAAAGAAGCATGTCTACATATAGGTAATAGTCAAAACTTTATTCAGTGCCCTGGATTCAGTATTCCTCCCACTTTCTTTGCTTTTGGAGTTTCTTGACAGCAGTGTATCATTATTATTACTATAACTTTACAAAACCATTACTTTAGTTCAACACAGTGGGCACACCTGTAATCATAGCACTCTGGGAGGTGAGGCAGGAGGATCACAAGTTCCAGTCCTGCTTGGGTATCTCAGCAACTTTATGAAATCTTGTCTCAAAATTAAAAAACAATAAAAAGAGCTGGGGATGTAGGTCAGTGCATAGACCCTGGGTTCAATCCCCAGGTCTGCAGAAACAAAAATAAACAAACAAACAAAATATTGCCTTATTTACTAGGAATATAATAAAGATATCAAAAAGAAAAACAAACAAAACAATTTAAACAGGTCAAGTGTTTCATTAAATCCGAAAAAACAAAATTCTCTCTGGACCCTTAGTTGTAGCAGATGTCTTCTTTCTCATTTTTGCTCAACAGCATCTACCTGATTTTATACTTTTTATACAGAAATATCTGACTCTCAGTATCACCAAGTGTGTGTGTGTGTGTGTGTGTGTGTGTGTGTGTGCGTGTGTGTATACATACATATATATGTATACGTATATGCATATGTGTATATATATATATGGAGAGAGAGAGAGAGCAAAACAATTTTAATCATATTCACATGCAGATTGTATGGGCTCCGTCCAATTCCTCTTATCCTAATCAACCAGAAAGGTGGTATTACCATGCTTCATACAGTTTTAGAGTAATTTTCTTTGATGTGCATTTCATATCATTATGAAATGATATAGCCTGTTTAAAAATATGTTTTATAAAACCAACTCCCTCTCCTATCTTATTAACTCTTGAAAGTATTAGTAAAATTTGTGAAGTTGTTTATTTTCCTTTCTTTGGGTTTTAAATTTTGCTTTATATTGGAAATTGAAGAAAATACTAGTAAATTTCACCTGTATTTCTAACTAGCTTTACTTATTCATAATATATTAAACAAATACTTCAGAGTCTATATCATCTGTAGTTGTTTCTTTTTTGTTTCTTTTTTTCTTTGTTTTTTTTAGTACTTATCTTTCAAAAGGCCTCATAGAGATGGTACAGTCAAAATCAACAAAGGCAATTAATGTGCAAAAACATAAAAATTCTAAAGTAAAATTGAAAATACCTCTTTTTAAAATTTTTAAGTATACAGTCTAAGTGTTTTATTTTTATTCATAAATGATATAAATTTAATAAGATAGTTTAGAAAATAAATACAATAACTCATGAACCCATTGTCTTAAGATTTAAAACCTTACTCATAGCCAGGTGTGATGGTATACATCTGTAATCCCAGCACTTGGGAGGCCAAGGCAGGAAGATCATTGATTCAAGGCTAGCCTGACTTATATAGTGACACCCTGTCTCTAAATAAATAAATAAAACCTTATGTATTTTAGAAGCTTTTTTCATTGCTTCCACATTAAAAATCTTTCTTTTGAGCTGGGTGTGGTGGCACACGCCTATAATCCTCGCACTCGGTAGGCTGAGGCAGGAGGATTGCTGTGAGTTCGAGACCAGCCTGGGCTACATAGTGAGTTCCAGGTCTGTCTCAACTACACAGTGAGACCCTGTCGCAAAAAACAAACAAACAAACAAATCTTTCTTTTGGGGCTAGGGATTTAACTCAGTGGTTCCGCTGCCTGCCACACAAGCACAAGGTCCCAAGTTCAATCCCCAAAATACAGATTAATGAGTTTTATTTTGGTAGATCAATATCTGCAATTAACAAACTTTGATCACCTCCCCCCAGTTTTACATTTTTGGAGGAGGTCTCATTGTGTATAATATACTTATTTTGCTCATATTCAGCCCTCCTATTCCTGTTTTCCCTTCCTATTGTCTAATAATAGTCTCCTTCCTACTTTCTTATCATCTTTTTAAAAAAGTATTTTTTATTACCCTATTTATTCATATTTATATAGAGCCTACAACGGATTAAGTACTGGGCAAGACAATGAGAGCAGAAACAGAAATAGATCTCTTTCTAGAGAAGTTTATATCTACTCTACATTAGTCAAGTATTTAGCTTATTATTGTCTTTTATTAGTACTAGTATTAAATATAGTAGCTGACATAAATAAGATAATGTATTCCTTTTTTTTTTTTTTTTTTTTTTGT